ATCCCTGCACAATTTATCGCGCCGCGCGACTGACAATTTCGAATCTGCGCGGAAGTAACGCGTAAAATAGATTATCATTTTATTGTCATTCAATTATTTATATCGCTAATTATAATTTGTTTTGATATTAATTGTAACTTGCAACCGCGAACGTGCGAGATCGATGATGATATCTATCGGCCACATTGAATAAATAAATTGGCCGTTCTCTCCGCTCAATTAACATTCATCGAAGCCGTTGAGCTTCTCTAAAATTATGTCCGAATATCGCATGGCGGATATCGCGATATAGCCGTCACTCTTCCCTTTCTCCTCTCTTCCTCACATTCCCGGCTCTCTCTCTCTCTCTCTCTCTCTCTCTCTCTCTCTCTCTCTCTCTCTCGCTCTCGCTCTCTTTCTCCCTTCCCCCTCCTGTCAAAACTGACAGATAAAAAATGTGTCGAGAGATGTATATCGCAATTATCTCGCGTTAGATATCAGATAAAAACTGTTTCGCTACACATCTCGCTACCGTGAATGAATCGTTCATCCTTTTACCCCTACGCGTAAGCTGTCAATTTCATTTTTATCGTAACAAATCAAATGCGAGAGCTTTCGAAAAAGTGACAAGAGGAATACTTTTAATTCTTACATATACAGGGTGTATAAAAAGTACCGGGACGGCGAAATATCTCGAAAACTAAGCATTTTAGAAAAAAAACTATTTCCGACAAAAGTTGCGCGGTTTCAAGAGGGACGCAAAACAAAAAAGTATATATATCTTTTTATTTGCCTAATATTTTTTTGAGATATCTAAGGAGATATTTAAGGAAAACTTGGTAACTTTTTCGAGATTTAGCTTGCGATATCTCACTAATTATCTGTCGGAAGGAAAAGTATTATTAGACTTTCTTATCGATATATCTGGAAATTTCAAAATCATCAAGTTAACAAAACTTAGGGCGTTATTATAACAATATATTCGTGAGACCAAATAGAGGAAAAAATTCTAGTACTGTTTTTTCTTCCGACAAAACTAGTTCGCGAGATATCGTAGATTAAATATTGAAAAAGTTTCCAAGTTTTCCTTAAATATCTCAAGAAATATTGGGCAGATGAAAAAAACGTTTCAGACAAAAGTTGTTCAAATTAATTGGTAGAAAAAGAGGATATAATAAAAAATTGGGGTTCTCGCTTGAAAAAAGTAATGAACAATGAATATCGCGAAAGTGGCGCCATCTGTAGACAAAACGATATAGTTGTTTCATGTCTCTCTTGAAACCGTACAACTTTTGTCTGAAACATTCTTCTCTGAAATGCTTAGTTTTCGAGATATATCGTCGTCCCGGTATTTTTTACACACCCTGTGTATCTCCAACATGCATTTGACATACACGAAAACACGACTCCTCGCAAATGACTACCTTGTTACTACGTCGCACTATAAATAGAGACCTGAGCGGCGGCCTTGGTCAACCTTCTGCAGGGTCGTTGGCTTCCCGACCGGCACCCTCACGTGTCGTAAAGATGTTTCTTCACTGAAATTCGCGGTCAGAAATTGCAAACAGGACTCTCTCGATGGCGCTTTCGTGCGAGGCAATTTCGAGCTGATGGGCAAATAATTTATGTTCCTCCACAATCGATCCCACTTACGTAACGCCGAACGCTCGTACACAAGCTCACGTCGGAAATCACGCGCTTTCTTCGGCGAGAAAAACACAGGGCGTGGAACGACAAAGTAAACTGGGGCGTTACTCGAGATTCGATTTGACCCGATTTTTCCCTACGACCTATTTCAATTTTTCGGGAAAACAATTATCACGTTGTGTGTCACGATCAAATATACCCGGCAGAGTCAGAAGTTTTCAAACGGTCAAACATGTCGTGCTTTTTCAGTAGCCGTATTATTAGAAATAAAAGAAAGTGTCTGATGTCAAGTTTTGCACAAATATAACTCTCTCTCTCTCTCTCTCTTATGTTTAATCTGACGAAACCTCTCTTACGGCGTTGTCTGTTATAATTTCAAATCATTTAGGAGACTAAACACAATATGAGGTCTGTCAACTAATCGAAATAAACGCACGACATTACACAGTTAAGAGCGTTTCGTACTTGTGTTAAAATTTTTTGTGTGTAGAAAGTTTTGTGTTAAATTTTTTACACAGTCGTGTGTTAATTTAGCATATCGTTGTTGTGTTACTCAGGACTTTCTTGTGTTAAATTAAGATTAACTATTTTTAAATGTTAAAATAACACAATTTATATGTAAATGCATGAATTCTTGCTCTGACATATTTTATATGTTAAAGTCAACACCTAAAGTGTGTTAATTTCCTCATTATTAACAGTTATCATAAGATATATATAAAGATTGGATTTTTAGCACATAGATTATGTCAATCTAACATTTTCATTTCATCAAATCATAGATCATTACTTTTCCCAAATGTTGAAGTAACACTCATTGTATGTCAATTTAACACAAACTGTCACTCTTGACGGTATTCGAGTGTTAAATTTTTGTGTTAATCTTTCACATATTACGCGTGTTACTTTTCAACATACTTGCTGTATGTTAAATTAACACACAAATGAGACTGGATGATTTGAGACACACGAAGTATGTTAAATTTAACACATCATTTCTCACAGTGTAGTTATCGCGTATTTAACATCGCGCGCATGCAAATAGCAACTGTCATTGCTTGTCATCGGGAACTTTTGTCGGAGTTCGCAGACACGCTTACTACTGAATATACAAATTGTTGATACCGTGGCGATTTTCAAGAACCGCTGTGTACGCAACACCGCTAATCCCGGTCAAACATGGAAATATATCTCTGCGACGTTTAAAAGAAACACAGGACCATAATTCGGCCTTTTTCGCTGCGCGGCAACTTTTCGGGCGAAATTCTCGCGCCGACAAGCGGCGGTAATGAAATCAGGTTCTGTACACAAGGAAATCGACCGATGGGCTGATTCGTTCGTCGCCGTCGGTTCCTCTTCGCGACACACGTGATCGAATTAAGATTTAATAAGTTGACAGAGAGAAGAAAATCAGCGCGCGCGCGCGCGCGTGTGTGTGTGTGTGTGTGTGTATGCGGGGGAACAGCGGAGTATAAAAAAGATCGAATTTCGTTGCCGCGACCGGGAAATTTCCAGGCTTGTTCGTTTCCAACGTACGTTCTCGTCGGAGCGAAAAATCGCCCGGATATCTCATTTGCTTCCTTTTCGGCCGCGGACTCTGCGCGAATCAATAATAGTGGATCAGCCTCGCAACTTCGCTCCTGCTCTGCGCGCGACCGCCGCTCTTTGACGGGGCATTCTCGCCCGGCGATTTCGTTCACAGCGCGCGGCGGCGCTTTGACGAGCGGACTGCGGACAACGGAACGGCGATAAGACGAAAAACAGCCGATACGGCGAAAATTCCTCGTGCGTGGAACGAAGCGGGAGAGGGGGGGGGGGGCGCGCGCGCGGGGCTCCGGCTCTTTTGGCGGATCGCGCATCGCGAAATTACACGTCACGGCTGGCGCCCGGCCGCTCTCCGTCAGAATTCGGCGGAATCTCGGAGGGACGTGCGCGCTGCAACAATACGCTCGCGACACAATAGCCACGCGCCAGTCAATACGCAATAACCGGAGCGACTTGTGCGCGACTGCGTTTCATCTTCGTCGCGACGGACGGAGGAACGGTGATTCGAGACTTCGTTTCTTACCGATTTCCGAAGGCGGAGGAAGGAGGGGGAGGCGATCCCGCTGAAATCTCAGGATATCACAGTTTTATCACAGAAAGATGGGCAGTATCCGATAAGATGTCCGATAAGTATTGCGCTCTCTCGTTTGACGTAAAATCGATCGCACGGTACATCCAATCGCAGTAGTATCCCGCTGCTCTCTGGAGTTTAGCTCTCCCCCGCTTAGCGCAGGCCAGTAATCCTGTCCGGGTTTGTACCGGCGAAACGAGCGGCGATTATCGAGTCCGCGCTAATCGCGTTAAAATATGTACGACGCGATACGAAGCGACGAGGTCGACGATCGCCGCGCGCCGGCTTGTCCGTACGAATTATCGCCGCTTGTTATCTTTATCCGCGCGCGAGCGCGCCGTTTTTTCACAACGAGCCTCGCTGCTATCACCACCACCACCACCACTACCACTACCACTACCAACACCAGCACCAACACCACCAGCAGCAGCAGCACCACCACCACTACCACCGACGACACCACGACGATGACGATCAAACGAATCCTCAGGAGCCTCGATCGCCGATGCAACAGCGCCGGCAACAAGACAGCCGTCCTCCGACACGATCGCGCGCTTCCGGCCGGGCAGATTGCGTTTCAAAAGGTCACACGGGGCTGTTGCATGCTCTCGCCGATCGACACGACAGCTCCCCGGCTAAGGTCGCGCTTCGGTGGGCGCGCGCGTTCTCGATCTCTCTGCCAGGTCTCGATTACTATCGACGCTCCTCCTCGGCGCCGCGTCAACTCAGCTAACTGGAGCACGTCGCGGCGTCCGATTGTGCCCGATATTGCAACAATAGCGATAATTGTCGATAATCGACGTGAGACGATTAACTCGTCGAGCAGCTGTGCTACGCTCCGAGCCGAGCCGCGTGTGCGAAGAGCGGCGCTTGCAAACGCGATCGCGCGGGGCGAGCGGAAGCGGACGATGCGCGGGGGTGTCGTGTGACAGTCAACCGACCCAGCCGACCCAGCAGTGAACGAGCGTCGACGAGCACGCTCGCCACGTCGCACGGTTCACGCTACGCGAGTGTGTCGCGGCGTGGAATTTGTACGCGGGTGTGCGTACGAGGCGAGACCGTGAATGGCGCGCACGGTGCGTATGACCATGAAGTAATAACGGCTGACGATCTGACGGCGGTGAGCTCGACGAGCGACGGTCACCCTTTCGCAGGCGAACGCCGAAACTGGCGAGAAGGAGGTAGGTAGACAGACAGACAGACAGACAAAGAGAGAGAGAGAGAGAGAGAGAGAGATAGTACTGAAACGATCACTCACACTTGCCGACCTTCGGCGCGATGCCGATGGGCACGGTATCGTCGCGGCGAGCTCGCGCTCGCGAGACACTCCGAGAGGAGAGGAGGCCGCCCGCCTGCTTCTGGAAAAATTCCACGGGGAAGAGCCCTCCGCGCGCTCGCTCGCGAGGAACGCCGGGAGGAAGGGCGCTCGGTATGTCACGGGACAACTTGTCACGTCGACGCTGGATCGTTTCCGCTCCGATCTCGCTCGTCGCCGCGAACGAACGAAGCACAACGGCACTTCCTTCCACTTGCACTCACACGCACCGCACTCAATTAGTTCGCACTCGCTACGCACGCACCCGTCTCTCTCTCTCTCTCTCTCTCTCTCTTCAGCACGCACACGATCTTCTCCTCGGGATCTCGGACGATCTCGCCGGCTCGGACGATACTCGTGAGAACGACACGTACGCGCGCGATCGCGTCCGCTGGAGCACTGACGCGCGGCCCGCGTCCCGCGATTCGAACGAGTGACTGCGCGGCCGACTTCAGTCGGTCGACTTCGGCTGCTCCGCTCGCCAGCCGAATGGACCCGAGGCGTCACGAAGCGCCCGTCTATCCGCCGCTAAGCGCACGGCGCGGCCCGACCGACACTCCAGTCTCCCGACGACACTCCAGTCCCGATGACACTCCGCTCTCGACCCGGGATCGAGATGCAGCGGAGCGCGCTGTTCCCACGATATACGGTCGGACGGCGCGCAAGGCCGCTCTCTGCGGCGAGTTGCAAAAAAGCTAATCCCCCTGGCAATTAGCAGGGGGACGATACGCGTAAGTCGCGCGACTCACCTCGCCGTCAGCTGATCGGCCGACGCGACGCTCGCGTCTTCGCGTCTCCGCGAGACCCGCGTGACTCGCGAAATGATTCGCAAAATACACTTGGAGTTGACGCAATAAATGTCAACTATCTCGAGCGGTCGCCGCTCGACGGGCGAGATAACGCGCGTGGATGATGTCATCTCGACATCCGTTTCTCCAGCAACGCAAAGCGTTGCGCAACGCGCGTCGCTCCCTCCTCGTGCGCGACAGTCGTCGATTATCGCGACCGCGCGGATTCAAGCGACGACGGCACGTGCGTGATGCGAATCATTTTCGCGCCGCGCCGGGCTGGGGGAGATTTTCGTGACCCCGTTTCCTTTCCCCGGACTCTTCGAGCGACCTTGCCGATGACGAAGGGAAACGCGCGCGCGCGCGGGGCTTCATCAGAAGCTAGTTAACTCCTCAGCCTGCCGAACTTGGATCTAATAACGAAGCGCACGCGAGCCTATCTAATAACCATCGCGATTATATCTTCATTGAGAGAGAGAGAGAGAGAGAGAGATGTATCGCCGTACGCCCGACGTTTCTCGCAGCTTTTAACGCGCCCGCCGCGCTACGCTACTCGCCCTACGAATGTTTACGTGTGTCGCTCATCAATAATAGCACGGGGAAGCTATCATTAACCCTGGAGGGCGGCCGGTGTACGTAAGATCGACGTGTTCTCAGGTCGTTTGTAAGGTACAACGTTAACGAGGGGCACCCCGCCCGCTCTCGACGTTCCAAGATCGATCGAGAGCATCTTCCGTTTTTTCCCCGGTTCCTTTTTACAAAGGGACAAGCAGAGAGCGGCCAGGGGCGCGGGGCGTACGTACGTTAGAACATTGGAACGCGCGGCACTTCGACGTGCGAGCGCGTTTCTGAAATTCGGAGTTCGGAAATATTAGGTGTTCCGGTTAGTTTTGAAGGATTTTTCACAAAAGAAACACGTTTAATTTTGAGAGACGTGTTAAGCCTTTAACGCCTACTGGTTACTATAGTTACCGGAACCGCAATTCAAGAATCCTTCGTCAAAAGAATAACTCAGTCAAAGGATTAAGAATAACTTAATCAAAAAAGAAGGTATTTTCGTTTTCTTTGCGCCGTTGTAAAGGTAAATTCTTCTTCTAAAAAAATGGTATATAGATTGTATGTAGGTTCGGTTTAGTCTGTTCGGTTCAGCTCAGTTTTAATGATAACATGTTTCGTCAAGTCCCAAGTAGGCATAGTTAGAGCATTGCTACTATGCCTATTTGGAATTTGACGAAACATGTTATCATTAAAACTGAGCTTAAAACAGACTAAACCGAATCTACATACAATCTACATACCACTTTTTAGAAGAAGAATTCACCTCTACAGTGCAGGTGCAAAGGAAACGAAAATATCTCCTTTTTTGACTAAGTTATGAATTCTTAAATGCGTTTCTGGTAACTATAATTACCATTAGGCGTTAAAGGGTTAAGCTCTCAAAACCAACCGGAGCGCCTAATATTAAAGCGATTGTCGCACGTGCGCACGGTTATCAAATTAACGAAAATCCGCCGAATTTACCTATTCTTCGAGACTTTCATTTCGATACATTAGCTTTAGTCTCATTTAGTAAGAAACTCCTTATCGCTGCGGAGCGCACGAGGAGGCGCGTGCGGCGTGAAAGTATCTCGGATATTGTTTATGAACCGCGAGGCACGGAGCGCCGCTCGCGCTTTTAATCTCTCGCTGAAATTCCTCGAGGAATCTCGCGCGCGTACGCGTCCCGCCAAAAAGACTCGAGTGAAATTTTATTACACGCATAAATTCCGCCCGCGTTCGTGGGCGTTCGGCAATTTCGAGACTCGCGCGTGGCTCTTTTTTTCTTCTCTTCTCTCTCTCTCTCTCTCTCTCTCTCTCTCTCTCTCTCTCTCTCTCTTTCTTTCTCTTTGACGCTAGCGCTTATTTTCCACGACGGGGGGGGGGGGAATTTAATTACCCGCAGCGGCGGCGGTGGCGGCGGCGGCGGCGGCGGCAACGCGCGATCGTTCGGGAAAAGGATTGTTAAACGCACCATCTATGAGTCCAGCGAGTACGAGATTACTAAATCCGGATGACCGGACGGACGCTGGCGGATTTACATTTTCATTAAGGCCCTGATTGCGAGCGCAGCCCATCCCGGACGTTGTTGAAAAGCCCGCCGCGCGCGGACGGACGGGCGTAATAAAGCAGCCGGAAAAACCTCGTCTTTTTTTCGTAAACCGCAAGCACATTCCAATGCTCCTTTGATCTTCCTCCTAGGCAGCGACCTTTCGCTCTTCATCTTTCCCTTCACTTGCCCGACAGTCTATCGCGGTCGTCCCCGCGCGGTAGTTTTTCCCGAACCTGTCCCCCGCGAGCGAACTCTCATAAAAAATACAATATTTTCCTTTCATTTGATCCGACAACCTCGCCCCTTCCCCCTCCCCCATCCCCCAACCGCCGCGCCGGTCCCATCCACCTAGCACCGCGCCGTCTCTTCGTGGCCGCTCGCCTCTTTGTGTGCCTGGCGGATCTGTAAGTTTAATTCGACGCGGAAGTCCAGGCAACCGCTCGCTCTGGGCGACTTGATTGCTTTGTCCTCCGAGACTCTAATATGAATTACAAACCTCCTGCTTGACTCCTCCCGTTCTCCCGTTCTGCCCGAACCTCGCAGCTACCTCGTCGCCACTATTTCCCCGCCGGCTGCGCGGCCGCGCACAGAAGCGAGACGACGGGACACGACCGGGCTGATGTCGCGTCTTATTGTCGGAAGCGCGCATTAAGATAAAAGAGAGTTTACGGTTACTTCTGATGTAAATGCTATTTGCGCTGGGGATAATAATATAATTTGCGAATAAGGGGAAGTGACGCAAATATGGATTTATGTTTCATACGCGGTGCCGCGGCAGCGGAGGGGGCAAGGGGGCAGGGAGAACTTTATGCCCGTGATGTAACTTCCGGCAAGAAAATTTATAATAACGAGAAGCGCTGTGTACGCGCGCGCGCGCGCGCGTGACTTTATCTCTAAATATGCGGGAACGGTCGCGTCTTACGGCGACGTGATATCGCGTTTGAACCATAGATATAGGAATATAGAGATGGAGCGTGAACTCAGTACTTAGACAAGGGCGGTGAAGCCACTGAGGGAGGAGCGACGAGGTAAAGTGTGAGCATTTTTCATCGGACGAAATGATGCACAGGCGCGGTGGCGCTGAATACAACACATTCTAATGTGTCTAATATTCTTACAAGGCCCGATTAACATACATTACATTATTTACATACCTTTAAATAATACAATTTTATTAAATATATGACTTTATAAACACATACATACACACATTCAGGGTTAAAAAAAAATTGCTCCTTAAAAATAATTCATTGCACCCAGATACCACAAATTATCCCTAATATTGTCTTAGACACACTTAAGATATCTTAGGATACTTCTAGGATATTTTAGGATATTCTTTACTCTTTACTTATGTTCGTCATTGGATATATTATGGTAGACGATTTTTGAACATCTTGTATTATCTAGGCTATTAGGCTATTGGGAAAGCTTACAATTATTTCTTGTAATAACGAATCTAATTTTATTTCTTATCTACACTGCTGTGTTTCACTTCCTCTTCACCTCTTCACAATGTTTCTCTGTTTATATATGCTACACGCATGCGTGTACGATAACAACCAATGAAAAGTGCTCACACTTTATCTCGTCACCCTCCCCGCAATGGTTTCACCCCCCCCCCCGAGCTTACGCTCCATCTCTATATTCCTATATCTATGGTTTGAACGATATCTAAACGACACTCCCGGCGCTATGTGTGAATCATAAAACGTCCGGAATGACATCGGTCCGGGAAGTCAGTGAGAGAATATCGCAGGAAGGAGCGCGGGTGTGCCTCTAGCCGGCACGAAATTACGGGCAAACACGTCCCTACGATCGGCACTTACATTTCTGCAGCGCAATCACAATTTACAGTGCGCTCGCTGCGCCGAAGCGATAAAGAATAAAAGTCCCGACGCGTTCGGACGCGCGCGCGTGTGTCCCTTTTACGAGTTCCGCGATGTCACGGAAATGCGCTTCCGGATGCGAGCGATAAAAAGGGCTCGGCCGCGCTCGCGCTCGCGCGATGATCGCCTCTCCGCAGATCAAGACGCACGGAAGCGAAGAGAAAAACTCCCCGCGCGCACTCGCGAGCAATGAAATTTCTATGCTCCCGCTCGCTTCTCTTCTTTCCTTTTCCTTTTATAAACTCTCTGCTCCGTTCTGCGAGGCGTATTCCGCGGTATCGCGGCGGCCGTATGTAATTCCGAGGGCGAATGTTTCATAAATTTCGAAAAATTGCCGTCGCCGAAAGGAGAGGCTCGCGAGAGCGCGTTATCGATCGCGTTATCGGTGCGAAGAAAGGTGTACCGCGGTGAGAGACGCGACGAGAGAAGAGGATTCGCGGCGAATTTAGTGCAATCGGAACGCTATTTTCGAAATTTCTATTCTCGTCTTCCAGACACCGGGATTTATGAGAATCGTTGCAGACGGAGGCGCTGCCGCGTACACCGCAAGAAGCCAGATATTCTTATATCAAACTTTCATAGAACATTACGATCCCTGGAAAATCTATTTAGGATGGAACCGCTTATAGATATACGATTACGACGGCGGAGAAGAAACGGACGCGCAAAGTACGCGAGCT